TTGTACCCATAGCTCCTTAGCTCTCTCCATAGCTCAACAGATAGTCGGGAGTATTCTAATGGGAATACTGGGGTCTTAATGATGTTGTAACCATCAACAAGTGGGGAGAAGTGCTTTAAAATGAAGGATTCAAAGGGTATGATGCGGTGTGTGTGTGTGTATATATATAATATATATATATATGGGGTATATCAACCATCAAAAATAGGGGGTACAGGTGGAGATTCAACCAACGAACATGGAGTACAAAACATTATAAAAACCAACCGTTCTATGATGATATACCTTGGATATCATTAATGGGTACCAAACTCTTGGAAGGCAATGGAATCTGCGGCGGCAAAGTGCATCTGCATGGGCCCCGTTTGGGGCTACCTGCGATAGTATATAACCAGTGATGATAGAGGTTATCTCGCCCAAAAAAAGGTTACGTTCATAGAGGAAATTCCAGCCGCAGTTGAAAAAATGATGGGTTCGTTGTAGGAACGGTGCAACAGATCACACTTTGAAGGCCAAAGTGACTACAGACTATGGTCAGACTTAATAAATCTGTCATCTATCTAATACTGACGTATCATAAAAAAAAATCACAATCAGTAAAGTATAACATACCTCAAAATCTAACGCTAGTTATAAAGCAATTATAAACCACCAATGTTTTGATGGTACTACCAATAAAAAAACTCTGAATATTGGGCATGGTGGATCCTATTGCTTTATACTAATATGATACCAGTACGTGGATCCTGTTATCATGTAATTATTATGGATTTATTATGGTTTATAATTTATCATCACAAAAAAAAATATGGATTTATTATGGTTTATTATGGTTTATTATGGTTTATTATGGTTTATCATCATCCCTGGTGAGCAGAATTCCCTGGTGGATCCGCCCTGGTTTTTTCGATGGTTCAGGTGAATCCGCCCCGGCCCAGCCCAAAATTCCACCCGCCCTTCCGCGGACCAGAAGACATTTCTGCGTCTGAATCGCCAGGCGGCTGGCGTTCTCTTCCTAAGGGTCATCCAGTGAATCCAAACATGGGATTTAATAGTGGTTTAATATGGTTTAATGATGATTCAATGGTGATCTAATGGGAATTAATGGGATTAATTAGGATATATGATGGTATACCCTCTGGTTATGACTAACATAGCGAACTGGAACATGATCATATTTATAGTTGATTTACCGAACTTAATAGCATGGTGATGTTCCAGTTCGCTATGTAAACGTTGACCAGAGGGTAAAAAAACCAATGAGCCCAGTGGATTCGATCATCCCATCTCTTCTAGCCTTTCCATCATGGTTTGGCTTCGAAAAAAAAGGGGGAAAAAACATGGAATCACAAGTGCTGATGTGTTTTTTTTCTTGCTGATTGAAATTTGGGGAAGGTGGGAATTCAGAATCTTGAGCGGGTAACAGACATGATTTGTATAGCCTCTGACTCAGGTATCTAATCTGGCCATGGACATTCCAACAGCTCCAAATCTTCAAACATGGGATGTCCATTGCCACGTTTGTGAATTACCGTTCCCCTTGCCATCATTTTTAGGGCTTGCTCAGTCACTTCACCCCTGAGCCCTGCGCCAGCCAGTCGCCGGCCTAGGAGCTACTGAGGATAATCTACTGAAAATTCCCCCATTTCAGTAGGGGAAAACCTTGTTCTTTGGGCCATTAGACAGAGACCAACAGACATCATTTTGGATTGGCCGGAAAATAGGACCAATTATCATCAAACACTTTTCAGACAACTTCACTTGGGAGGTACCTCCAAACTGACACTTTTCAGCCCAGCCCGCCTCCTGGTTGATGGCTTTCGGTGAGGGCACACGCCTCCAAACAAACCCGAAGTTCTAACCTCTTGATGCCTGGATACCTGGGAAATATATGGGAAATATATGGGTATGGATCAATACCTATTAATACCATTTTTAGTGGGATGAACATCCATTTCCCAGCTATTTTGATGTTCACCAGGGGTATAAGGTTTTGACACACTGCCATATGGGAATTCTATCTGCCAAGTGGTTTGGGTAAAGATAAAAATGGGAAAGAATTAGAGCCATCCCTGCACCGCCCAAAAAGACTAGGAGAATGCCGCCAGCAGTGACACACTGTAAGCAAAACCATGTTGTATCACGAGTCCGACCTTCTATTCATCAGGACCTAACGATATATACATATCATATTATATCATATTATATATATATATTATAGTATACTGCTACAGTAATGTATATTCATTTGTATTGTGTGTATAATATATCATATGATATTATATTATATATTACATTACATTGTATTACATTACATTATATTACATTACATTACATTACATTATATTATATATATAATATATATATATATTATATATATATTATATATATATTATACTATATTATATTATAATATATTAAATTATACTATATAACATTATATTATATTAAATGATATTATATTAAATGATGTTATATGAAGTGATGTTATATTAAATGATGTTATATTATATTATATTATGTTATATTAAAATATGTCAAATTATATTATATTATAGTATATTAAATTATATTAAATTACATTGAATTAAAATATATTATATTATATTATATTATATTATAATATATTATATTATGTTATATTATATTATAATATATTATATTATGTTATATTATATTATATTATATTATATTATATTATATTATATATATATATTATATTATATTATATTTTATATATTATATATACATATAGATTTCACTTCTTGCCACACTTGTGGCACCTTCCCACTTGCTTGCATCTTCAGTACTTGGAAGCAACAAGCACTCGTCCGTCCTCCCAAGGTCACGAGAGCGAGAACCTCCTCTCACCTGGCTCGGATGTTGTCAATGCGGTGACCGTCAGAAATCCCTAAGCAGGTTGCGAAATCCCAAGCGTTTGCTGGATAAACCACGATAGTCTCCATGTTATAACCCTAGCTTAGGCATCATAAGTCTCCTCATAGTCAAATGACCTTTCTACTGTTACCTATCTGGAGAAGCCGGTTCTTACCAGTTGCGTCATGTTGTGTGCGTTCATCATGTCATGTGCATCGATCAATTCATGTCTGAAATCACCGTACTTTGCCGCTTGCATCTGTCTCCAGGTCGCTCACTGTGTAAAATATACACTGGAGTTGCGAAAATCCGCAGGCAATCCATCATTTTGAGTGCTTCAAAATAGACATGTTCAAAGTTATCTTTAGATTCTTTAGTTGAAAAAAAAACAGTTTTTTATTTAAATGCCCTGAGCTCCCTGCCACACGACTTCGAGCCGGAGCGGTGCCTGGCTACTGTTTTTTGTAGGAACAATTGAACTTGTAGGGATGAGTGGCCCAGTGGACCCTTAAAAACACTGGAGAAAAGCTATAGATCTTGGAGAAAGCCATGTGAAATGCATCCCCCGTTTCTTGGTGTTTCTGGGCAAGTCTTGAGTATTTAGCGAGATGGGACCCGCCACCAAAAACGGAGGAAAAGTTACAACTTGATCCATGCATACCAATATATATAGATATATATATATAGAGATATATAAACTGATATATATATATATATGTATATATATATATATATATAGGTTAGGTGTTTAATAAATACAATTATCAATATACATCAATATACATGTAATATTATGGCGAGTTTGAGATAGCTTAAAGCATTAAGCAATTTCAAGATTCTTCAAGCCTACTATTGAACTCACTGGACCATTTGAGGATTACCCTCTGGTTATGACTAACATAGCTATTGAAAATGGCCATAGAAATAGTGGATTTACCCATTAAAAATGGTGATTTTCCATAGTTTTTTGTATGTTTACCAGAGGATTATTCTCATTTCCCATATTTTCCAGACAGCACGGCTGGGCTGAGCCATGTCCATCGACACATCGCCAGATTTTCTTCACAGAAACCGTTCGGCGTTGCACTGGATCCCACGCCCTTTTCGTGCCCGTCGGGGGTCTGGTCCACAAACCCTGAACGGTAGATCTACCTTTGGTAGACACCGCTGAGAACCGGGGTGTCTGCAGCGGACAGGTGCAGAACCAATCCGACCCGCACCAGAAATGTCCGCCAGAGAATTCGATTGACAAGCTGACAAGCCCACTCCACAAAGGCAGAAGAGAACAAAGATCCAATTTTTGCTGAAGGTGGGGGGATGTCTCATGTCCTTGGGTTTCGAGTAGCAAGATAAGTATATATCAGTAATTATAAGTATCAAGATTTCTGTAGCAAAAATATGCAAAAATGACAAAACATGCTAACTCCCTGGGTCTGAAGTCTTGAGCGATAGCAGTACCTCTTGAGAAACATAGTTTAAACGAAGATCCCATACTATCCATGGACTGGATGCTCGCCTCAATTTCAACAACCTCACGGTAAATGATAATTACATCGAAAACATATAGGAGTACACACCGCACTTTTCAGTTTTAGATCATTTGCTCTTCATGTTGCTCAATTTCATATTCCACCTGCGAGAAGATCGCGATAGACTTTTGGAGTTGTCTGGAACTTTCCGTGGGGTGTGAAAAGCTGCAGTTGCCATACTAATGAATCGCAACATATCGCTATCACAGCAATCTCCATGAAACAAGCAAGTATGCCGGTATGCCCCCCGAGAAGACATCAAAACATATCAAAACATATCAAAAAACCATGAACCAACAGGGATTGGTTGCACTCGTTTTTTCCAAGTTTCATTGAGAAACAAACACCACATCTGGCGGTTGGAACTTGTGTTTTGTTCTGCCTTTGGAGGAGGGGAAAGCTCTGGAATCACCCAAGACCTGGCTACAGTAAGATACAGTGGACGAAGGACTCCGACAGCGATATGCCGCAAAAAAAAAGGACAATGGGATAACGGGTAACAATATCGTAACCCCCAAATGAAAAGGTGGGCAATTGACCACTGAACTATTTCCTTAGAAATTTAGAAGTTTAGCAACTTCGATCTTTTGGAAAGTTGCTGTAAGTCTGCAATCCACCAAACATCAGCCAGATCTGCAAAATGTGGCTGCCTCTGGGCTACCCAGGAAGCAGCAAAACACACAGGTCACGGACCCTCACCGCCCGAATCGTGGCAGCCGTGGCCCAGTGGTGGTATTGGAAGAATGTCACAGCGAGGCACACCTGAGATACCAGTGCTTGGAAGATGGGATTAGGAGTGTTAGTGGGGTGTCACAATGTGTAATCCATGGTATTTCAAATTTAAATGATGAGTTTGAAAAATGATGGGTTGAACACGCACGTACTATCACGTACTAGTCGTGTTTTGACTTCGTGGATGCTAAATTTGGGTTCAAAAGATGGGTTGTTGTCATTTTTGCATATTTTAACCCTTAAAACGGCAATTTGGGGGTACCCTACGGTAATTTAACACAGCTGTGGAAAATGGCACATTGATAGGTCATGTCCTATTGAAATTGGTGATTGTCCTCATAGTTATGTGGAAATTGTTGAACATACACTGATAATTTTAAAATTGCCAACGTCTTCTGGAAAATCATAGAACATAGTTGAACATACCATTCTTATAGCATAGTTTGCACATGTTTGCACCATGAAATGATGTTTAGCATATTGATTCCCAATAAATCAACAATTACCCTCTGGTAAACTAACATGACATATGACATAACTATGGAAAATCACCATTTTTTATGGGAAAACTCACTATTTCTATGGCCATTTTCCATAGCTTTTTGTATGTCCAGAGGGTACCATAGATGTCCGGTTGCCTCGGTCGCCTCAGAGATCGGGCGAAGGTCCTGAGAAAGGCGTTGGCTGGGACCCCCCATATATTTAGGGGGACAAAGACATGTGTGGCTATATTATGTGGCACAAATGGTTCTTATATGGTCTACAAATGGTTCTTATATATATATATAGTATCAATGGGAATTCCAGGATCCTAAAATGGAGGTACTGTACCATATAAGGCCATATTTTGTGGGGATATTCCCTTACATAGGCCTTACATAGGCCTTATATATGGTAGGTACCTCCAATTTAGGATCCTGAAATTCCCATTGATTATATGGTCTACAAATGGTTCTTATATAGTATATACATGTATATACCCGGAAAAAAAATCTAGCTCATTGGTGGTTGACCTACACTCCTGAAAAATATGAAAGTCAGATTGGATCATCATCCCAACTATTGGGGAAAATAAAAAAAATGTGCCAAACCACCAACCGGCTATATTATGTGGAATTATTTGGCTATGGCTTGTGAGGTTGTGAAAGAAATCGACCGTGGTTCCACACTGGTGCTGTTTTTAGATCAAACAATGATCTAACCATCTGGTCCCAGAGGCATGTCATCTTTTGGGCCACTTGCGAACACCCTCCAGTAAACTAAGCGTCGAACTGGACGCCATCACCATTTTAATAGGGATCTATCATCACTAAAGGAACCATCTATCAGAGCTGACTGCATCTTTCTTGGCTATCCCTGGGTGCCCAACATTTCTGCTTGGGATACAAATCCTAAATTCGGACCTTTTTTTGGCCGCTGAAACATCCAAATGCTTAGATGGGCCATGGGATTAGCTAGCTGCTTAGTATCCAGGGTATAAACCAGTATATATTTATACATATATATAATATATATATATAATTACAGTATATCACCTATAACCCATTACCATTAACAGTTACATCCATTTTCCAAGTGAACTACTTCCGTGGCCCATCTCACCAATCAAGCACTTCCTGTCCCACCTGTGCTCTGATTCTGCTTGGAGATCTTCTCTAAGATGGTCAGCAATCGAGACTGGTTTGACAAGTTCGTTGCCTTCAAAACGCAGCTGTCACACGGTGCCACCATGATCATGACCACACTACTGTAGTGTGGAAAAACGTGTAGCAATGGCAATTATAATAGCAACGTACCACCCCGGTCACCCCCCCTCCCAAAAAAAATAGGGAACTACAGTAAGTACGACCACTATTTTGGATGGGCAGAAAGCTGTTCGATTTCTTTTTGGGGATGACTATAAATGGGTGTATGATACACTGTGTATGTGTATACAGTATGTAATTGATTCGTTTGATTAGGAAAAACGGCGACGTTGATAAAAAATCGATGGTGATTGCTCAATCAATGGAGTACCAACAGACAAACAAAACTGAGAACTAATTTTTGTATGAAACCATTCAATTTGTGGGGTACTGTAAGATCTGTAAGTTATTTTGATTCGTAGCCATAGTTCGAAGGGTGGGAGGGAAAACCAGGCTCCAAACGTCAGCAAACTGGTCTGGTCGTTGGCATGCAGATTTGCTCTATAAACATGGTTGGTGGTGCTTCATAAGCCCTATCCATATAAGGCCTCACCATTGGGGGGGTCACCTGGGTCACCTGACTTAGGGTGGTTACAGCATGGTGTTGATGGATGCACCACTGGCGAATTGAACCATGCAATCTTCGTAAAGTCTTCCAAGAACAGTATGTTTTCGTGAGAGGCAATCTGTTTTTGACATGACAGTGAGTCCAAAAATTATCGAAACATCAAAAAACATGACAGAAGGGAACATTAAAGTCCCTTAAATAGTACGTAGACTCGAAAGACGATGCTATTCTGGGACACGAATAGCACCCCAAAGTGTCTGCCTTTCGACCTGGTTCCAGTGGGATCATAACCCGCTATACACGGGTTTTAGGTCGTTCATATGTATGGATATACCATATCACATGTGTACATGTATGTATATATATATATATCATATCACATATGTGTATGCATATATGTACGTTTAGTCAAACGCCCCTAAATTGTCTCAAATATGTGTAAATCCACTACCAACCCATGTTACACACTTTATCTATCTATCTATCTATATATGTATGTATATTATATTATACATATGCATGTTCACTGTACAGCATATAAACCCATGTTTCTTGACTATCTAACAAACTAGTAGCACCTATTTCAAAACCTCTGTTGTACAACTATATATATAATATATATAAGGCAAATCTTATATATATATAATTATATATATAAGGCAAGTACATTGCAAGTACTACATCTATCTTGATACAGTACTGGGTGTACCCCCATCCTTCGGCAAGAAATATGGCCGCCATGGCCTGAAAAAGGTTCAATTTCTCGGCCATAGTCTGCAGAGACATTTGGGCGGAGACCTCAGTGAAAAAGAGGCCTCCGCTTGCCAAATGGAGATTTCCCAAGTCATAGGGGTACCTCCAGTTATCATCCATTTCAATAGGATTTTCCATGATCAACATTTATAAACCATCCATTGTTGGCTGGGTACCTTCATTTTAGGAAGACCCGATATGAAAAGAGATATCCACAATGTTCAACCAATCAAAAATGGAGCATTCTACCAACAAACAGGGGCTTGAAGGAAGAAAGATGGGGACTGAATCGGATGGAACAAATCAAAATAAGGGATTCAGCTGCCCACACATCTTGCTCTTCCGGAAAGAATACTAGGTCAGGGTTGAGAGTTCAGACCCATGTAAGCAACATTAAAAATTGAAAATGATGGTCAAACAATGTCAAACATAGGACTAAAAAGATCTGTATGTCATACGCTGAACAACTGCAGGTTGCCTCCGCTGATCCATCTGCAAGCCGGCGTTGGATTCAAATTGATATGGCTACATTAACATTCTCAAACATTGGATTTGTCTTCATCAACTGAAATGTATCCAAATGGTAGGCCCCGGTTCCACTGATATCCAGTGATAGCTGCGTGATTTACCCCTTTTCAGCATATTTCAGCTATAATATATATATATGTATATATATATATATACGTTTATATATATATATATACATATATAATTCTTACATAACCCCAAGAAATGGGAATCTGTTTGATTCCATTTTCAAATGGTAGAGGCCCATTGTTCAAATCATTTCCTATGATCTACGAACCTACTATTCAAAACAACCAAACATCTGCAGCAACCTGGGTCTCCGCCTTAATCCCCCTGGGCAACGGACAATGTCTGACTTCTGCAAGTCCCCTCTCAACCTCAAAATTTCGGGCAAGCCTTGCCAGTGCTGTTTGTCACTACCTGCCCTTTTACTTGTGTTGAACCCCCACAAAAGAACGTGGTATGTGGTGTCTTGAAACTCATCCGGCCACCAGGTCCCCCTTTTGCTGCCGACGCGTCTGAGTTTCAAACCTCATTAGCCCTGACCTCATAAACCGCGTGCAGCCACACCACCAGGAGAACACACATCAGTAACGGAAAATCCAAAGCAGACTTCCCAATCTCGTTGGAAGATCATACTTCTACCTGTACTCAAAGTCCATGATGGAATAAATTCCACAATCCACCTCCCAACCCTTCTTGGGTGACGATCCCATTGTTTGCGCCCCCTTGTTCCCTCAGCCTACCCGACTTGTCTTTGTCTTCCCTGTTCCCTTCAAAACTCCCCCATGATTGCCTGGATCTCCATCAACAATTATGCTCACTCCGTCCGACCAACCCCATCCCTATCACAAAAATGGGATGCTAGTCAGAAAAATGACCAAAATCAATCCAAAATCTCTGATTGAAAATCTGGCCCTGAACGGTCACAGCAACATCACACGAGATGAATTTTATCACAAAGTCCAACCCAGCAATCTTTGGTTGTTTAATGTATTGGGCATATTATCATCATCATCATCATCATCATCATCATCATCGTCATCGTCATCGTCATCGTCATCGTCATCATCATCATCATCATCATCAGCAGCATCAGCATCAGCATCAGCATCATCATCATCATCATCATCATCATCATCATCATCCTCATCGTCGTCGTCGTCGTCATCATCATAATCATAATCATCGTCATCGTCATCGTCATCGTCATCGTCATCGTCCTCCTCGTCATCGCCATCGCCATCGCCATCGTCATCATCATCATCATCATCATCATCATCATCATCATCATCATCATCATCATCATCATCATCATCATCATCTTGTTTCCTTAAATAAGTGACTGCATTCCCCCTCAAACCCTCGCCCAACTCTTCCCCGATCTTCACGTCCCACCCCACTTAAATGGGCCAGGGGAGTAGCTAACTGGTTTGTAGCTGGTATCTAACTCGCAAAACATCTGACCACTTCTAAACGGCACCATAACCATTGCCTAGTTATGGATCCGAACTTCAATTATCATCCCAACATCAATCATCAAATGTCTGGTTACCATCCCTACCCCCGATGTGCTAAAATTGATCCCCATTTGTTTTCACCCGTATACAAAAACCATATCTCAACCATCATTTCTGGTTTCACCCCCAACCTTCAAACCCTCCAATCTGAAATTAATGCAACATTTACAAAAAGACATCTTGAAAAACCATGAAACACCCATATAAAACAGCCATTTTTTAATCCCATGACATTCCCGGTTCCCCCCAGCATCCCACCAGCATCCCCACCAAGGTACACCAACTCAGAGACCCCCAGGTGGCCCTCTGCATCCGCGCCAAAGGCTTCGAAGATGCCAGGCCTCGCCTCAAGCTCGATGTCCAGGTCCTGAAATGCCGGGGGAGGTGCCAAAAATTGAGGAAAATCATTGCAGGATGGGGCCCCATAGTTAGCTAAGTTGGTTTATAACTACAATAACCACAGTGTATGATACTTATAACTATATTTAGATGGGGTTATAAACAAACTTATAACTGGAGGGCCCCATCCTGTGGGATTTTTCCCCAATTCTTCCGGAACTCGAAAAGTTGGGCGAATTGTTCTATGGATCTTTGATGATTTTTGTGTTCTACTTAACTTGGAAAGATGCTGGGATTGTTTTTGTGGGATCTTTGAGAAACTCGGGAGTTCATGGAGTCCACCAAAAAAAATCATGGCCATTTCTATCAAGAAATGGCCTCGGAGGTAGCAAGCTATGTATCCGGCTGCCGGCTGAAAGCTGCGGGATAAAAAGCATGTTATAGGGCTATAGGTAGCTATAGGGTAAAAAAAGGATGTCACTGGATTTTGGATGGCTGCTAAAATTATATACATACATAAAATTACCACAGAAAGTTAGGATAGTTAGGCAGGGGTTGAGATGGAATTTCACCAAAGTTCTGGGGTATAAAAACCTTGGATGGGGATATAATAAAACAGGATTCCATTGTGATTCCAGGTTTTACTCAGATTTTTGTGGATTTAATGAAATATATATAGATATTAATACTTACATTTATTATGGGCGTGGTACCCTGAAATGGGTTGCGTACAATCCAATTATGGCAATTGTTGCAAGGGAAATGATGATCAATCATCAAATTTGGTACCTTTTTCTGTTTTTGTATCGTAAATCCAAATGTTTGAGGGTAGCTGAAAGCAAATCAAAACCAAATCATTGTTATTTTTTGAGGGGTTTATTCATTGAAATTTATTCATTCAAAGTTGATAGCAATAATATATTGATACTCCTTGCGCAGGTCAGAACGAATTAATCCGGTTCAATCAAGAGCAACACGTCGTGTAAAAATGCGACATTTGCGTGTTGGAAAATCGGAATAGAGAACCAACAAATGCCAACCACTGGAAAAACAGATCAATAACATTCAATAACCAGCAAACATTGTTTTGCATCAACCAAAATAGGTAGACAATCGGCATAAAGACTCGTCCATTTGGCACATTTGGTGATGTTCGACACATTCGCATCCGCCAAGTCACATCCAGAAGATTTCGAATCCTGGGCTGAGGTGGCCACGAGTTTTCCATGCGCCCATGCCAAAGAATGCCTAAGGATATAGATGTCAACCCTGGATTAATAAACCCCGTTTACGGTTGTTTAATTGGGGGGATACCATAAAAAAGTATCAGATTATGACCATGGTTTATTAATCCGGGGTTGACATTAGATGTCAAAGATTGTCAAAAACCATCGTGATATTTTCCACTGGAATTGTTCGGTTCTTGCAAAGTGTGCCAGTTCTCAAATCATCAACGGACACCTTCCTACACGGTGAAAAGATAAGCCAACCAGCGAATCTAGCTACCGTATGCTAAGTTAGGTCTTTCAAAAATTGCACACGTGTCAATATCTCATCCAATTTCCATCCCAGCGGAATTGTTTTCCCCAAAAAAGCATTTCTCTTAAGTCTTAAGTCATAACCAAATGGGTTTCGTCTAAACATATGGTACCCCATGGTACCCCATGGTACCCCATGGTACCCCATGGTACCCCATGGTACCCCATGGTACCCCATGGTACCCCATGGCAGTGGTTCATCATCACCCGCTTTGAAGATTGCCATTTGGGGGGATATGCCGCATTTTAACAGACACACCCAAATAAAACACAATTATATAGATCGATGAAATTAGTAGGTTGTATTTCCTATGATTATCCCACTATATTACCATAAAAATCCATAAAATGGTTGGTGGTTTCAACCTACCCCTCTGAAAAATATGAGTTTGATTGAGTTCGCCAGTTGGGATGATGACATTCCCAACTGAATGGAAAGTCATAAAATTCATGTTCCAAACCACCAATCAGATTGTTATGAACCATAATTAACCCTTATGAACCGTGATTAAGCATAATTTACCATCATTAATCATCATTAATGGTTGGTTACTGGAATTTTATGGCCTTATTAACCATATAACCAACCATCATCAACCATCATTAACCAATCAGAAATGCTTGGTTTATGTCGAGGCTCTTAGAATTCTGGAGTACTTGAGTGAACTCCTGCTCCGACAGGGTGAGTTCTTTATCCAAATCACCTCGGTCGATGGCCCGGTCGGGATGTGACTTTCGGGTAGAAAATCACCCTCCAGTAAGCTAACATAAGCAACATACCTAAAGATCATCACCATGTTTAATATAATAGAAATCATTAGAAATCTAGAAATCACTAGAAATCACCAATAAACGAAGCATCTTCCGCATGTTCCCATCGCCATCTTTGATTCCAGGTCGAATTTTTCGCAGCATTTTTTTCATGTCCCAGATCCCATGAGGACCTCGATGTCACTGAGGCTTTCGCTCATCTTCACGGAACCGGCGCGGAGAAAGGTCTTTTTGAAGGACTTGGACCACACGCCGCTGCTGCTCTCCGGTTCGTCGCCGATGTCGGCTTCGCGGATCTCCCTATGGCGAGACAGGTGGCTGGTTGAGCCATCCGAGCCCCCCAACCAAGTAGTTCTGTTCCAAGCTGCTGAGAAATCCCGAGGGGAGAGGGGAGATAAGATCATCTTTTAAATCAACAACATTCAAAAACTATGCAAATTGCATCAGCATCGACAGATACAATGGATCCTCAAGTGACACACAAAACCATTCAGACTTCAATCTTGGATGAACTTGATGGGCCCTTGGGGGGTTCGATAAATTCCCCGGGCCCCAAAGATAGAGCGCACCTCACTGTTTTGGATACTCTGATCACCTTGATGCGACCGACACAGCAGTGGGTTATGCCAGATTTCTATTGAAAATGGCCGTTATAGTCATAGTTGATTTACCTGTTAAAAATGGTGATTGTCCATGGCTATGTTAGTTTACAAGAGGGTAGACAAGCTGATGAAACCCTCAAGTCTTCTGGCTGAGAAAAAAACACATCACTTTCCCTCAAACCCTTCCTCAATCGAGACAGAGACAGAGAGAGAGAGAGAGAGCCTCAATGAGTTCCGTATGCCTTTCTCTAGTCTTTAGCCAAAAAGGGAGGTACCTCGAAGAAATGACAACAAAAAACTCTAATGACTCTAATGCCTATATTCTTCTATTTTTATCAGTGAAAAACCAATGCTGCGGATGTAAAACCGTTTTATTGGATCCAGCCTGAGATAACCAATCTTTCAAGAGAAATAAGCATATCTGTGGCATCCAGCAGATACCCGGTAGGCAGTCCCAGAAGCTAAGTCGTTGAGCTTGCGCGTCACATAATTCGTTTCGTGCCTGAGGGGCGGCTATCGGGCATCGCAAGGAATTAATGACGGACACTGAATAGTATGCATTCTGTATCTGCTTATGCTTTCCAGTACATGGATCATTGACCTATTTGAAACCCTGTGATCACTATATAATCAGCAACAACAATGGACTTTAGCTCGCCAAAAAAAAAAAACATAGAAAGAGAGGAATCACCAACTCCAAGTTGGTTTTAAACATTAACACCACTGGGGTATTCCAAATGTGAGTTTTGAAGGGTCGATGTGCAAACAATCTTGATAATTGTGCGAACCATCCCATGATATACAGTATACTTGTCTGAAGACAATTATCTGGTTGGTGGTTTCAACCCCTCTGAAAAATATGAAAGTCAGTTGGGATTATGATTCCCAATATATGGAAAAATAAAAGCCGTGTTCCAAACCACCAACCAGTTATCATAGTCATAGAATCATAGATTCACTGTACACACTGCAAAATGAAGTTCAACGTGCCAGTGAAACCTGTTTGGAGACAGCAACACTTGCAGTTCATGTTTTCACCTGAAACTATCGAACGCTCCACAAACTACACATGAGTCAGTAGCAGGTGGGCTGTATTGTAGGATACATACCCAGAAACGCCTAGTGGGAAAACTCACTCAGTACAACAAGGTGCTTCGGATTCCAGAACAAATAAAATGTCAAGCTGGTACACGGCACAACGTGAGACCTCCGAACTTTCTTTGGGACAACTTGTCACTTCAACAGACAGAAATAAACATAATCAATCAAAAACACCAGAACCTTTCCACCCGCAGGTCTTTTTACGTTTGACAAGTCTGGTCAGCTTCAGTGTTCACTCACACCATAATTTTTGAGTCTCTGAGCCCTTCGTGTGTCTCATCAGGAAACGTCAGAAAAACACATCAAGCGCGGGCTTTCTTTTACCAGCAAACATGTTGATACCATAATGGTTTACTCGGCAAAGAGGTAAGTTCTAAATAGTTTTATAATGTTTTATATAACCCTCTGGTAATTTAACATAGCTATTGAAAATGGTGATTTATAGTGGATTTTCCCATTAAAAATGGTGATTTTCCATAGTTATGTTCGTTTACCAGAGGGTAACACGTTTTAAGCGCCAAAATTTCAGTGCAGATTCCCGGCATTCCAAGTGGCAACTTGGCATGCTTCCGCTGCACCTAACCAGAATGAACCAGGCGGGCGTTCTGTTTGAAAAGTCAAAGAATGCCGAATCGCAATTCCGAAGAACCAATATGAACCATAATTGAACCATATTTACATCATTGGGTACTGTATAAAATACATTAAAATATACTATATCCATATTTACATCATTGGGTACTGTAGAAAAAATACATTAAAATATACTGATATACTGGCTATATATCGTATCAATGAACATCAATCTTCCACTTCCCCCCGTGTTGAGCGTTTGGCGTCGTTGTACTTCAAGCCCGACAGGGTGGCATCAACGAACATGGCCTCAGTGTCAGGATGACCGGATCCGGATGATGATTTCGGGGCTTCTAAAAACCAATGTGGGGCCCCCAGTCGATAGCGTTCAGTTGGGGTTCACATAACTCCAATAACTATGGTTACTTATAACGAACTAGTTAATGCGGTTTATAAACCAACTTATAACTGGGGCTCACACACCAAGATGATCATCTATTAACCATAATTTACCATAATTGACCATCATTAACCATCATTAACTATCATTGACCATTACTGGTTGGTGGTGACTTAACCATCTTGAAAAATATGAGTTCGTCAATGGGAAGGATGACATCCTTTCACATTATGGAAAATAAAATTCATGTTTGAAACCACCAACCAGATGATATACCCTCTGGTTATGACTAACATAGCCATGGTATAGATGGCCCTAATCGAAATAGATGGTTTACCGTTCTTAATAGCATGGTGATTTTCCATGGCGAACTGTTAAATAACCAACTGGTAATAATTATTAGATGGTGTTTTAGATGGTATAATAATTATTTATATATCTGGTTGGTGACTTAACCATCTTGAAAAATGATGGAGTGAAAGTCAATGGGGTTGGGATGACATCCCATATATGGAAAATTCATGAAAATTCCAAAAATGTTTGAAACCACCAACCAGCCGAGTAGTGTCCTAAGCATTTCCCCTTGTGACCAAAGCAAACACTCGAATCTCGGAGGCATATGCACCAGGCAAAATGTATAGAAAGTTGCTCCTGCATCTCAACACATGTGGCTTTGAGCAACTCTCTCACATCCATTGGAAAGTCAGCAACAGGTTACATCCAAGAGTGGTATGCTCTTCATCAAGCTTTACCTATTGCTGTGGTAAGCCCAACAAGAAACCATCCCCAAAATCACCATAAATGGATGGTAAACCATGGGCCCAGTCATGGTAGTTGTTTATTACGGAATGAACCACAAAATCGACACCCATCAGCTGGCTGCAAACCAGGGGCTGTGATAATGTTCGTCATGCCAAAGATCATGGTGACCATGCTGAGACCGTAGAACCTCACTGCTACGGCTGCTGGCTAAGGCTGTCTCGACAGTGGGGCTCACACACCAAGCTGATCAGCTATTAACCATAATTTACCATAATTGACCATCATTAACCATCATTAATTATCATTGACCATTACTGGTTGGTGGTGACTCAACCATCTTGAAAAATATGAGTTCGTCAATGGGAAGGATGACATCCTTTCACATTATGGAAAATTAAATAAAATTCATGTTTGAAACCACCAACCAGTGATGTTCAGAGACGCAGCAAAGGAAGTTGAATGGGGGAGGGGGGGCGAAAAAGTCAGTCAAGTTGAGCTGCACATGAACTCCTCACTGGGCGGCCGAGGCACCATTCGAACCTCCAGCCATAAAACTCACTGAAAATGGCAGCCAATGGCTTTCCACCTAGCAACTGCAAGGACCAGGATATCCGGACCCATGGTCAAACCCAGAATTTAAATCTGTTCTTTCATATCCATTTATTTTAAGTATATATTCCCTATTCCCCAAAGATTTAAGATGTTCCTCAACATGGATACAAACATGCAGATATATATATATACACAAAGTACTATATTTATGTGTATATATATATCAACATATCCCAGGAAGGAGTACTGTAGCTGTTGGTAACTACCAACAATGATGGGTGTGGGCTGCAACAAATCAGCTGCAAAGCGGCGAATCCCCACCTTTGCTGTTGCAATCACCAATGATGCATCTAAAGACCTGGTGCAGTGGAGACCCACTAAAGACCTTCAGCATTTTTCGACCGTTCCGCAAGTCCGATTGTCAATGTTGCGTCATAGAGCTATCCCAAACAACAACGTCGAACATGGGTGAACCATGGAACATCGAAAAAAAAAAAAAAACATCTATTGAACAACTCTGAAGAACATGATCATATGGGGGTCGAAGTCATGGATCCCAGTCGTCACCATGGTTCTTTCAATTGAAGCATCGGTGGAGATCTCCCTCGGGGCCGGGCGGTGAACATGCATTTCAGGACCTTGGTCCGACTGTGAAATGTCCACAACCTGGGGGCGCCTGGAAATCTGGACATCTATGAAATCTGGAGTTTCTGATATCACCGGGATGTACCAAATTTATGTATATTTATGTGATATCTTATGATGTTTGAAATCTCTATTTATGATATTTACCACATTTATGTCAGATGAGTCAGATATTTCAAATTATGATCCAAGGCACGGTGCCGCAATACTCTTGTCCATACAAGGAGGCAACCTCACAGCAGTCTGAGATGTTGAAAGCAGCCGAAATGGGTGGGGCAACCCCGAAACTATGAAAACCACGGGGAGTATCATATTGCGTGGAGATGCCAAAAATAGTCAAAATACGTCAAACTGGTATCAATTCGTCATGAAAGCTTGCAATGATAAATGGTACCCCCTATATTCATTCATGAGGTTGTTTATTCATCCTGGGCTGATCTGATGTGTCCATACAATTGTGAAACTCAAACTTGGTTTCATCATAAATCAGCAAAAGAATTACCAGTCCTTCAGAAACATTCAGCAGCGCAGCACACGTGGAAATTTGGGGTTTGGGTTTTGCAGATGGGTTCACGCGAATGGGCTTCCACTCTCAGAAGCTAATGTTGAGCCAGGAGGAGAAGCAACCCCAATCAACCCGGTTGATTCATGGTGTTTCCTACAATTTTAGGTACCTCGAATTTCAACTTCATAGAATATCATGAAATATCATGCATAGGCTATGTAGGTGTGGGTCGAAAGGCTAGGAGCCGCGACAAAAAAACTGGTGTGAATGGATGGTTGTCCCTCCTTTTCAATAGTCTTGGCCCATGGATATGGTACCCTCTCCTTACACAGTATTACTCCTCACCCAACTGGTACCCCTCCATCAATTGTGGAGTCATATCCCCGGTCTTTGTATCTGAATCTCCCCATTTTTGGGGGAATGGGCATAAATAAAAGTCATAAAATCCAACAAGGGTTTCAAAAACCAAAATAAAGGATAATTTTAAGGTTGATGTAGCCCTCCCTATGTTCCACAATGCTTCCGCCCTCATCAACCAAGGTAACTTCACAGCCGTCTTCCGCAGAACTATGATTGAAGGGATAGCTATCAGCATCTCGACAACTGCCACGCACGGGGTATCCATGGGCATCCCATCGAATTGGGGAAGATTCACCCAGGGTATCCATGGAAAAACATGGAAAAACGATGACCAATCACCATCCAAATATGGGCTGCGTTCCTGTAGATCTTTCTTTAAATCAACTTACATCAATACACACTTCCGAACTTGTTGGCATTGGCAGGCTAGCTAGAATGGCAGGCCGTAAACAAAAGGAGCAGCGTAACTGAAGTTTTCAGGAAAGCTAATTTTCAAAACACTGCCAAGACAACAACAGCAACATCATTACAATAAATGAAACACAAGCATAACTTGCAGCATAACTTACAATCATGACAAGAAGAAGACGAAGGCGCAGAACAGAAACAGAAAAAGGAGAAGAACACGAAGAAGAATGCGAACAATAACAACATCCCCACGTCTAATACCCTCTGGTAATTTAACATAGCTATTGAACATGGCCCATTGATTTCGTGAGTTTTCCCATTCAACATGGTGATTTTCCATAGTTTTTTGTACCTACAGGATCACCTCATGGCCATTTCGCTGGATTCATCGCTCACAGTGCTGCGCAGAATGATGCCACAGATGTAGAGGACTCCGCCTGGCATTTTTGGTGACATGCTGGTGACATCCTAGCAGTGTGTCAAAACCTTGTACCCCTGGTGAACATCAAAATAGCTGGGATTTATGGATGTTCATCCCATTAAAAATGGTATTAATAGGTATTGATCCATACCCACCTAATGTTTTCAACCCATCAAAAAGAAAGGGTGCAAGAAAAAAAATGTCGTTCAAGTGTGGAAGATTTTTCGGATGTCAACCTGTTTATTTGTCCTATCAAGCCGCCTAACAAAAATACTGTTCAAATGAATTGGTCTTCCCAAAGGGATGAAAAGCAAACCACCATATCTCTGGGTGAATTATAATAATTCACTAACCTGAAGTAAGGCCATTTGGGGATGATTTCCCTTATTAACTATGATGAAAAGCAAACCTATCTGAAACCCTCCAAGTAAGAGGGCTGATGGACAATTCAGGTCGTCCCAAAATGGGAAATATGAAAAAAGTGACGAGCCAAATTCCTACTGTACTGGAGAAAAAAAGTACAGAAAAACTGACAGCAAATACCCTCTGGTTATGTCAAAATAGCTATTGAAAATGACCATTTATCATTGATTTCGTGAGTTTTCCCATTCAACATGGGTGGATTTTCCATAGTTTTTTGGGACAGTTTACCAGAGGGTATGTACAAATATCAAATATGGCAGTGTGTCAAAACCTTGTACCCCTGGTGAACCCCAAAATAGCTGGTAAATGGATGTTCATCCCACTAAAAATGTATCTATAGGTATTGACCCATACCCAAATATCACCTGTTTGGGTTCCATTATTTCTTGTTCCAGAGAGTCGCACCTGCCAGGTCATTCCCAATTTTCGGACTAAGAGAACTCCCCGTTCTAAAAAGTGGGTCCTTGACGTCGGGCCCGAACTTCAAAGATTAGCTCCCCTTCAAACCTTAAGTGATACTTTTCAGGAGTTATGGAAAAAACATACCCTCCAGTAACTTAACAGGTTGCTACTGAAAAGGGCCATCTATAGTTGATTTACCTATCCAAGATGGTGGTTTTCCAGTTCGCTATGTGAGTGCCAACCCGCCAGCGACCAAGCGGCTCAATAAAATGGTCACCCAGAACAGCCACGGAACTCCGATCACCATCGCCTAAAAACCGACATCTGCAAAGGGGGGGTCCCAAGACTGGAGACCCCAGACCATCATCCAAAAATTCTCATTTTTTCAATGGTAAATCCAAGGGTTTGGAGTACAGTACCCCAGTTAAGAGAAAAACAATCAAGTCTCTTCGGCATCCATCAGTCTGTGTGGCTCACCATTTGTTTGAAGGTCAGTCACTTTGAACCATCTCCATGTTCGCTGGTTAAAGCGTCAAACCCCACTGCACGGCTGAAATTCTCAGCTTTGTGAGTGAAAATTCAGTGCCCAGGAATTGGAGGGGTACTCCCAACCCCAGACAAAAAATCGGGGTCAACATGGGTACCCCAATAATTATAATATATATACTGGTTGGTGGTATACCTACCCATCTGAAAAATATGAGTTCGTCAGTTGGGATGATGACATTCCCAACTGAATGGAAAGTCATAAAATTCATGTTCCAAACCACCAACCAGATATCCATATTATAACAGATTATATCCGTATTCCCATTATATTCCCATTATATTCCCATTATATTCCCATTATATTCCCATTATATCCATATCATACTCACATGTTAATACCAAACATCTACGAAAAATCGAAGTGGTCCCTTCACTCTGGGACACTCATCCCCTCATCCCCAAATGGATCCACAGACAAGCCGCAGAGATCATGTTCGCCAGTTCCGCCAGCAAGGGGAGGTTCACCAACTGCAAGGCCATCCCGGGAAGCCGGTGCCAAAATTCACAGTGCAAGCTTGGAAGTCAACCTTTTACTTAATTACTGGTGCGTTTTACGTAGGGTTGCTGGATGGGTGGAAATGGGGGTTGCTGGGATCATGAAATTACTAGTGATGACTGGGATCATTCCCGAAAATTCCCTGCGTTTAGCACCAGTAAGTACTAACTAACCATCATTTGGGATAGTTTTGGGATAACTAATTGATATAGTTGAACCATCATATTACCATCATTGAACCATTGAACCATCATTGAACCATCATTGAACCATTGATCACTGGAATAAGCGGGTTTCAATCCACGTCATTTCATAGATCCACGAGAGATTTTTTGGGACTTCCAACTGTAGTCTGAAGAATTTAAGAAGAAGCGTTTGGCGTGTTTAAGATTATACCCTCTGGTAAACATACAAAAAACTATTGAAAATTGCCATTTATAGCTGATTTACCCATTGAACATGATGATTTTCAATCGTTTTTTGTATGTTTACCAGAGGGTAGCCCCTCGCAACTCACCTGGGCTATCCATGGTGCCATGATTCGCAAGGCCTTGATGAGTCGCGCCACCCGAGAGAGACGCAGACCACGGAGCACCATACCTGGTCCAAGTGATGTCATACTGATTTAGTTGACATATGTTGACATTAAAACGTATAGTTGACATTGGAGAAATTCCGAGAATATATATATATATGTATATACGTGATACTGTTGAATTATGATGAATTATGTCGAATTATTGTTGGCATTATGTAAGTGTTGACTACTACTTTACATACAATACGACAATACAATACGATTGTGTTGTTTTTCAACGTGGACCCCGGATGTGTAAACCATTATAAACCCTAGTTGATGAGGAACCGCGGGGAACGCCCAAAGCAATGAATCACTAGAAATGCTACCTCCCGTTGGTTAAGAAATGGTCGTTCTCAGGAGCGCTTTGAGGTGAGTCTAGCTGGTAGGGCGCAAAAAAAATGTCTCGGAGCCATTTCTGGGCGTTGAACACTTATATACCCAGACATACCCAGAAAATAACCAACCCAGCCAGAAACATTTCAGCTGCAATCAATGCCATTTTCTGTTGGCTCCCCCTCACTTTTTGGAAATCTGTCAGTCACCTATTTGCGGAGCTTTGTCGCTTGAGGTGGATAGCATCCAAAATTTTATCTTTCGATGGTTAAATCCAAACTATGGTTGACTCAATTCCAATTTGTTTGCTAGCAAATCCCAATAGTTCCTTCTCAAAACCCCATTTTTGTGGCTAAATTCCATAATTACTTGTCTTGCCTAAAACCAATTTGTTATTGCTTAAATTCGCAATGCTTTGCTGAATCCATCCGATTCTTTTAGAATCATTTCCACTTCAATCCCAGTCGTTGCCCCACTTCAAAGCCCATTTTGTTGGTTGGTTACCATGTAGAGGTTCTTAAAATGCCACTGGTACCCCAGTCGTCACCATGGGTTTCAATACTAAGTCATGGTCTACCATCTGGTTATGACTAACAGTTCGCCATGGAAAATCACCATGTTTAAGAACGGTAAACCATCTATTTCTATGGGCCATCTATACCATGGCTATCTGGTTGGTGGTTTTAACAATCTTGAAAAATATTAGTCAATGGGAAGGATTATCCCATATATTATGGAAAATTCCAAAAATGTTCCAAACCACCAACCAGCTATGTTAAAGAACCAGAGGGTAATTGTTGATTCCTTGGGCATTTTCCATCGCCGAGCCGCTCATCCGAGCAGAGCCGGAGGTCGACGCAGTGGTGCTGATGATGACATCTGCCACCGCCACGCAGGTCAGCAGTAAGTCTCCTGCACCCGTTGTGATGGCTATGTTGCTTCAAGAGGAATACATATTTCGGGGATTCCGTAGTCATTGGAGATACCCCATTTATGGATTGTTTATCATATGGAAAATCCGAAAATAACATGGATGATAACTGGGGGTACCCCTGTTTTAAATAACATGGATGATAACTGGGGGTACCCCTGTTTTAGGACACCCTCAGATGAACACCATAATACTATAGATATATCATGAATCATCATAAAATTATTATAAATTCATGATATATCTACCATCAACCAGACAATCCACCTATAGTTAATTAATAGCCAACATCTTGGATTTGCATTTTTTTGGGTTCCAAATAACAATACATATTCCATGGGGTTGAATCAGGGGTCCACGGCAGGACTTCGGCCCATGCAATGGTCAGTACAGAAGGAAAGGTTCCGCAACTGCTTCCACTCAAACAAATCATGGGTTTTGGACTTGATATACTTGATGTGTTTTCGCTCCACCATTGACATCCATTGACATCCATTGATTTTGAAGACCAGCTGGGACAAGCAGCTAAAAGGGGCTCCTATGTTCCAGGCATAATTCGTGCCAGTGAAGTAGACTCGCGGAGACAGCAGCAGCAACTTCACAACCACCTCGATGACAAAGACCTCACTTCACGTGCACAACGCGCACCAGTGGCGATGGTGGAATTGACTGCCAGTCCTGCAAAGTGATGAAAAAAACAATAAATATCAATCAATATAGATGTTTAAAACATGTTTAACCTGGTAAATAAGATAATATAATCTGGAAATAAATTCATAAAGAATAATAATACAATATATATATATCAATATATAATATCATCTGGTAATCCAACATGACTTGGAAATCCCCTACAGCCAAAGACTTTAGTCACAGCAATTTTCTGGAAATCACCATATTTACATATATTTACAATGTGGAGACATCGCTATGACCCCGTCACAGCAGGGTCACAGCAACAATGCAAAAAAAAAAACATGAGAACGCCTGAAAATGTCTTCTTTCATGTCACATCGTCGATCATTCTCTCACCCATTCTCCCACTCTAACTGTATATAAATGGAGGTTTGAATGGCAACATCAGGAAACAAGTGCCTGGCATCCCATATCCTCACTGAGTCTCCTCGCCAGCGCAAAAATCCATTCCAGGACTGCGTAGCCAACCTGGGACCATCGGCTCTTCGTCGCTGCCAGAGACTGAACCCATCAACATGGTGATCAAATTCATCAACATGGGACAGCAAATCAAGCCTAGCCTGGTGCCCTGAAGCATATGGCTAGAAAATCACCGGTTTCAACGTGGGGAAATCAGGGAAATCATCTAGGTTTCTGGTGGTGTTGTGTCCTCCATTCATGTGGAGCCAAAAAATGATAAGAGCGCTACTGGTAAGGGTAGGACCAAAGACAGTGGCCCCACGAAGGAACTGTTTCTTGCAGCATGTTCTCATATGAGCAATGGTCAATACTCACTATATGGTTGATGGTCATCCCATCCATAATAAGGATCCTTATAATGGTTATTATAAATCCCTATAAGCCACTGGATGACTAGCCCCTATTACTGGTTATTAACCATGAGTATTGACCATAGCTCATATTAATGTTCTTGTCAATTTGCTCCTTAAGGATGCTGTCGCCAAAAAGGCGACGACAAATCTGTGAAATTCGACAAGCACTCGAGCAAATCCTGCACTGCAGAGCTGTCACCACCTTTTTTTGGATCGCCCCAGCAAACTACCGATCCATCTGCCAAGATCGCAGCAAATGCAGCACCTGTGGCCTGAATTTGCTGGACGTTCTTCAGCTGATCTTGCACTGCCAAACTGTCACCACCGTGTTCTGATATGCCCCAAGTAACAGCCGACCTCTTAGCTAAGATTGCGGCAAATGCAAAAGATGAGGCCTTAATTTGCTGCACATCCCTTAGCTGTCCTTGGACTGCAGAGCTGTCACCTCCAGATAATGGATCGCCCCAGCAAACTACTGATCCATCGGCCAAGATCGCGGCAAATGCCAGATGTGTGGCCTGAATTTGCTGCACATTCCTCAGCTGTCCTTGGACTGCAGAGCTGTCACCACCATGGATGCCCTTGCCCCAGGTAACAACCGATCCATCATCCAAGATGGCAGCAAATGCAAATCCTGTGGCCTCGACCTGCTGCACGTTCCTGAGCTGGTTTCGAACGGAGGAGCAGTTACCACCATGCGTTGGATGGCCCCAGGTCACAACTGACCCATTCGCCAAGATGGCGGCAAATGCAGCTCCTGGTGGTGCCCATTTGGTGGCCTGAACTTGCTGGATGTTCTTGAGCTGATTTTTAACTCTGGAGCTGTCTCCACCACAGAGCCCACTGCCCCATGTCACGATCCGATCTCCTCCACAACACCAAGCTGCAAAGGCTTCACTCGTTGCCGCTATTTTTGCGCGTTGCACAAGTGCAGTGAGGTGCTCTCCTTCCTGGATCCCTGCAGCTTGCAATGAGTCCATGGGTTGGGTGAGGCCACGATTTGTTGATGTCACAAGCCTCAAGAACTTCTGTCCGAAGGATTGCTGGGCCAGAACTTGCAGGTCCCCCACTGTAGAATGTTCTGGGAGAAGCAGCGTTTCGTTGCGACCACTCGGCAACGAAACATTGACGTGAAACATTCTTTCAATTTTGGATCGTAAACATTGAGCGAAGTGCATTGATATTTTGAGCCTTTACAATGTATCGTCTGTTGTGAATCCATCCATGTGTGATTTGATGCCACCCAAATCTGGGAATAACGGGCAGAAGCCAACCAAAACCGATAAATTGATATAAATTGACGCATGAATTGAGCTTGACCAGCACCAATAAGACCAATTTCATCACTAATTCCCAGTTGGTTGAGAATGCCCCTCTGGCATCATACGCTGCAATCCGTTGCATCCCGGATGAACATGCACAAGCGGGAAACCCGGACAAATGTAGAAACAATGTCTATATGATTAACATATATATATTGTATGTATATATATATGTATATATATGTATATATATGTATATATATATATAAATGTATATATATATATGTATATGTATAAATGTATATATATATGTATATATGTATATATATATATTCAACAGAATCACGAACAAATTCATGGTCTCCCCCATGTTTCTCAAACCGTTGGTTTATATTCCGTTCATTTTACGGGCCATAAAATCAGACTTTTCTGGACCCAAATTTGGCCCAAAATGCCACCTCTAGCTTCACTCCAAGGAACCCATTGAGGCGCCACATCCATGCTGAATCCTGCAGTGACCGCCGATGGCGGTTAGTGAGTCGTCATAAGCTCATACAGTTTACCGTCGGATCATGAGAGGTTGACGAAAGATGAATGTCGACTCCAAAGATGTGAAAGCAGTTCACATTGTTCGCTCTCAAACATCAAGTGCCCATTTCAGTGTCCTAACTGTTCAAACTGCCATCATCATTTCAGCCACTTATTGCCAGCAAAATTGCTGGGGTGGCCCCAAATCAAAAATCATTGGATTGGTTTGAACTGTTTGAGCTAATTTTTGTTGATCGGGGGGAAAAAAAGTTTCCTGCAGATTTTTAACTGGAGTATCATCCCAATGACCGCAGAAAACAACTTCCGCAAACTCCCGCGGTCCTAAGATAATGAGACTCATCATGATACTGATGCTGGCCTTGGTTGCAACAGGCTTTCCATTGCTGAGGCGAATCTGTTGAGGAAAACCACCCCCAAAATTGGATGTGTTTGGTCTGAAACTGTCTATTTAGGCAATTAAATGCTGACCCTGACAAATGTCTGAGTCACATCATTTTCTCGCAGGCTCTACGTGTCCGTTGACTGCTGGAACCCCTGTGCATGAAAGTTGCAAAAGTCCATCCCCAGAATATGATATTGAACACACCCTATAGCTGGGTTCCAAATACTGGGAAGCCCTCTACTAGACCATGGTTTCTGGGGCTGTTTCCTCGATGTTTGCCAGTTCAGAAAACCACTTCCAGAGTATAGCAACCCCAAAAAGATCAAAAAAGAAAATCCAATTAATCCCCAAATTCTTCCTTGCACATTGAACCTCTTCTGCATCTTTTTTGGAGGTCACCATAGTATATTTTGTGTATATATATACTATATATATATACTATATATATATACTATATATATATATACTATATATATATACTATACTTATTTTGCAGGTGCTGTTCAAGCGACAAATCCATTCACCACCATTAACATCTTCTCACGACAGGTCCGCGTCTGTCGGAAGGGAGACGGCGGGGTGGCTTCAGCTATGCATCCGAAAAACTCCCGAAGGTTGTATCAAAATTCTTCAAAATTAAATATGAACATGTTCTCCAGATATCCAAGCCTCAATCTATCAAAGGTGTAATTCTCCATGGTTATATCATGTTACAGCATATGACAGCATAACATCTCGCGTTGAGGCCCTTAAGGCTTGAGGTCCCGAAGGTTGGCGGGCCTGTGTGAGGTGAAAACTGGACCGCATCATGCGCATCTTGAACATCTGGGCAGGGCTGGGCGAGGTGCCACACCATTTGTTGATGGTAAATCCTCATGTTTATCATCTATAAATGGGACATTTTTTCCAGAGCTATGTTAAAGAACCAGAGGGTATATATGTGTATATATATTTATGGTGAAAATTGGTGATATAACTGTATAATACTGTATATAACTGGGATTTATGGTGGGTACGTCTATGATTAGATGATGCTAGATGGGCGGATCGTGTCTATCCAGTACGTGTTCTTGATGTGGATTATGCATGATTATGCTGGAAACCAAAGATGATTCAGGTAGCCTCAGGTAGCTCCTGAAATAGCTGGAGATGCGATCTGGATCAAAGCAGTGGAAGTCATGTTCATGGCTCAGGATCAAAGCAGCAGCAGCAGCAGCAGTCGTCGACACTATCCTTACCCCAAGTTCTTACTGCACTTCTTGTGTGTATTGCTTTGTCTGAAAATAGGGAACTGCATTCCATCCATTGGATAATTTAATTACAATGTTAATTGTTCCCAATTGAAATTGCCATTTTTGGGTGGTATATCCCATTCTCAGAAACACCCACAAGCACCACCATCACTGTACCCCAAAAAAACCGCGCACCTCATAACCACTTTGCTGAACGCGTTCATCGCGAAGCGTGGAATGGATGTTGAACATCTCCTGCTAGCTGTGTAGATATTCATATGTTCAAACCCACGAGGCTTGCCCTCAATTTGAGGCTCAAAATCGTACACCATACCAGGATTTGATGCTAAACTGACCCAATGTTTTTCCTTTCTGTGGTTTCCAGAGGGGCATCAACGCGCCCCGAAAAATGGTAATCTTCAGGCGTCCTGCACCATTTCAGGCCGTGCCTGCAAGGGGTCCACGGCAAATGATGGAAACCATTGGATTTCTGGGTAACCTACAAGGTGTTTGGACCTTTTTGGACCTTTTTGGACAAACCCAAAGGAGCAATCTCAACCCAATCAATGTGATTTCTATGAACAAGACATGGTTCCTTTGATGGTGAATTCTCAGTATGGGTCGTTTGATCATGCATGTTCAGTTCACACCAAAGTACCAGTATAGGTGGATGCTAAAATTAAAATTCACCGTTTCGTCACCCCGGGGGTGATCGATCGAAGATTACACAGTCAGTCAAGCCTGAAATGACCCACACCATGTCGGTGCTCAAAATTCATCAACCTGACCCCCACATCAACCCCCAAGTGACGCGGATTCTGCAAAAATTCACCCACTTTTTGTGGTTCTTACTGGTAGCATCCATCCTGGAGGCCAGCCCCCACCTGAGTGGCCAGATCCGGGATGGACATCAGCTCCACAAAGGATCTCCTGAGCTTCAGACTTTCAGAGGTGGCAAATGATGTCAATGATAAGTGAAGCCACTAAGATCTACGACCGCTACAACCCCTTCCCCCCATCCATGTCGCCCAAAGGGCGGATCTTCCCTCAAAAAAAATCCCATCATCTTTCATGAAATCGCCCTTTGGTGGATCTTCCCCCAATTTTTGTCCCTTATTTTCCTGGCCAAACGCAACAAAAACCGTGCGTTTTCAGGGCCCCCCGCCAGGAGATCACGGTCTGCAACTGCTGCGAGCGCTTCGGCGATTCACCGCGCAACCTACGCAACCGCGGCTTTTTTTTTTCTGTGCCAGGTGGGGAGACAGAAACAGCAACAAAAGTGGGAATGTCCATCATTTTGTGGGGACATACATATATCATATATATATATATGTATTACTGTATATATATAATTATATGTATATATATGTATAATTATGTATATATATATATATATGTACTAATATACATAATGGGATATATATATATATATCATCAGGACTATGACATTCTGAGAGTGTCTGAGGAAGGTGGATCGATCTCAATTTATGGCAGGCATACTATCAATGGGATACCATCCAGTTCGTGGACTTCCTAACCATGGCTATTCAGTGCTTTAGTGGGAGGATCTTCCAAGTATGGCAGTAAAAACCATTCACATCTTGACATATGAAATGAATAGGCGAAAACACTGGATCAATCTGGATCATATAGCAAAGTAATATAAAGTAAGGAAGTGTTGTTTTGAGCCATAGCCCATGATACCCCTATTTTGGGGCCAGGCGGCCAGGCTACCGGCCTTTTTTTGAACCTTTGCCAACTCTGAAAGATGGTTGTACTATGGTACCATCTGGTTATTTAACATAGCCATGGAAAATCACCATTTTTAAGTTCGGTAAACCTCTATTTCTATGGGCCATCTATACCATGGCAAACTGTTAGTCATAACCAGAGGGTATATACGGGTTTGTCCAAAGGTGAATACCCCGAAGTTGAAATCACTATGGAAAAAAATAGTTGGTCCAAACCCCTGGATTTGGGGACATCATTTTTTCGACACAAAGCCTTTTTGTTTGTGAACGCTTCACGACACGGTTCACCGTTTGAGATGAACTGGAGATGTTCGACTGTGACATCGGACATGACTAACATCATGACTTATCAGATTTTCACATTATAACATCTCTGTGGCATTCTCATTCCCAGTATATCAGTAGTATCTGGATAATAGCAATGCAGTCTGAAAGCCTTGGCCACTGTTGGGATGATGCCATCCAATTCCCATCATTTCTAGTGATGATTTTAATTTATCATAATGAACTTGTCCATATCCAGATTATATCATATAATATAATATTGTATATTGCAATATATATATATAATTATATTATATATATATATATCAATTATATCACCATAGTATACCCATTCCACCCCCATTTTTGTTGGTGAATTCACCAGTGTTGATGGTCACGTCCCCATATTCCCCGTCTTTCGCAGGCTAAAAAAAACTCTCAGATGCTTGGGAAACTCTCAGTAGCTCCGAATCGCTCCCCCCCTCACCACTGGATACATAAGTCCCTACAATGTGGGCCCCCCCAGTTATGTTTGTTGGTTTATAAACACCAGTAATTAAGTATAGTTATATCTACCATAAACCATAGTTATTGGACTTATGTTCACTAACTGAGCTATCGACCGGGGGCCCCACTTTGTATATTTTTTGGGGCCCCCTGGTCCAGTCGCCCTTGGATCAACCCTCACAGCCTCGCTGCAATGATTCGCATCTCTTTGATCACATCTTCCATTCGTTCCTGGCCGCTTTTTGGCCTGAACAAAGCTCCTAGATACACAGAGTGTGTCAGAGTGTCTCGGTGTATGGAATATATCTATAGGATTCTATAGGTATTTGATGATCTATTGAATCTATTGTGCTGTGCATGTGTATCTCTATTTATATATATATATAGCTTGGGGCATGTACCTATTCCCAACATGCCGGCCTTTGTGTATTCACCCACTCCACGTCGTGTGAGGCGTTTATTCCTGGCAGATACGTCACAACTGAAGCGTTTGAAGATGTGGAAGCTGGATCAAACAAGAATGTGTTCATCATCTTTGATGTATACTTTGTAAGAGTGAGAACATGTAGAAATCTATTTCTGATGGTGGTAGTACCTTAACAAGTTTCGGAGCTAATCCTCATTGACCGGCCCCCATTGCTATTGCTGGCGCTATATTTTGATCAGTCCTTGTGTTCCTATTGTCGTAAACCCATGGATTCGAATGGATTTATGTTTAGGAAGGCATAAATCAGCCTCTATTGAACTGCTTAAAGGGTAGAACCTGAAGAATCTGATAATGGTGTGCCAACTGTCTGCCAATCTTTGGCCAAATTTGATAAAAGTTGGGATGTTTTCCACTGCAACAAACTACTTACAGTAGCAAGTCCTTGGTTACTGGGAGGGTTCACCATTGCAAATTTTGATCATAAGGAGCACGATTTTTGAAACTACTCAAAATCATATGAATATATTCTTTAGTGATTTACGCATCAAATTTGGTGAAAGTCTATCATGTTTCATGTGTGGTGATTTAAAAACCATCATCACGACTAGTGGTTCCTCATGTTTGCCGCTAAAATGAAAGATTTTACTATTTTGATTGGATTGATTGGATGAGGGGTTCCTAAAGTCGACCCAAAAAACCTGTGACTAACGTGGATACCGTGGATAACATGAAACTGACGTATAGTTCCTATTGATCTTGTTGGATCTTCAGGACCCTTACAGTAAGTCCTTACACATGGGCCTTGTGTATGGCAGGTGCCTCCAATTTAGGTACCTGAAATGGCCATACATGTTGGATACTCTCTGGCAATAAAAAACCGTTTGCGAACTGGACAATCACCGTCTAAAAATCAGGTAATTCATCCATCGTTGAGCCAGAATTTCACATTCGCGAAGTGTTAAATCATCGGAGGCTATCTGTTTATATTGACTATATATATATACCCATAGGATCCATGTATGGTATATATGCTAACATTTGGGGTATATTGATGGTAAATGTTAGCATATATACCATACATGGATCCTATGGGATATATATCATTATATACCTAGCATATATTCACGGAATATCTGCATCAAATCGATGGTTTTCTATACAGAAAAATCCCCATTGATGGTAGACCCTCAGGAATCCCAGCTCTCCTCTGCATGACTGTGACCAGTTCTGGGGCAGTGACGACCTTCAACAAAGATAGCAGCTGATACCAGCAGTGTCCAACTGCAAAACAGTTATAGATGTATAGCATTTAGTTGTAGATATAGTATAACAATGTATGACATACTATAGTTACATATGTGTATAATGGATTGACTGTTCATTTCTATGTATTGCATGCAATATCAAACATACTGTATCTCATATCTCGTTTATATGTCTGTATACATATATATATATATATTAATATATATATATATATATTATATATATATGTGTGTGTGGAAATTTCATCAAATATCTATGTCTCCCTGCTGTGGGGTTCGGTCAGTCAATGATGTGTTTCAGAGATTTCTGAACCTATGGGATCCTATGGGGCCGTATGGGGGCTGGAGCTGGAGGTACCTAGCCTTTGCGCCAGCATACTGCGTATCATGTTAGTAGCGGGGTGTCACTCACCAATGGCTTGATAGCCAGGATTGGATCATCTTGATCATCATTCTTTCATGATTTTTGGTTGGGATTATCTTGTGCGGGGGTTATCTAGATTTTTCTAGCTATCTTGGTCGGTACGAAAAAAATATCTACAAGGTGGCACGCCCCCTTCGTTATCAGTTGGTTCATTGACCCACTAACCCAACATCATTCGCCTATGGCTATCATTTAAAAACCAACAACTTCGCCATTTCGATCTCCACCGCCACACTGCGCGCCAGCGCGCCTTTGCATCCGGCTCCTCCACCATGAAAATCTTCGCCAGCCGTTCGCTAAGCTCCAGGGAAATACTCGGGGCCTCAGGATCGTCCCAGGGATGCCCCAGGGCCAAACATCGGATGGAAAGGAACTTTTTTTGGCGATTTTTTGTGGGGGATAGTACTTATACAACGACTTGTTGGGAGACTAATCTAATGGAAAGCAATGTGGGAATTTGTGAAATGGAGCCGCTGGAGTTCCCATCTGCTTTCTCTATTCAAGCCCTCCATTGTTTGCCACCTCAGTGTTTGACCAAAAACTTATTACTGGTAGAATCACAATGTTGACTAATTTAATTTGAATTTAATCACCAAGCATTCATCTCAGTTTTCTGTGTTCAACCACACGCTTATGACAAGACCAGGTTGTTTACCATGCAGGTTTGTCAACAAAAAATGGAGGATAACTTAACCCAAAACAGACTGGGTTGAAAGCTCGTGTTCCCTATGTTTCATTTGCTTCATATTCGGGCTAAATCCACCAATTCTGGCCAAACCCATGTTGCATTATGTTGCTAATATATCCCATTGAGATCCACTACTGCAATGTCATAATATCATATATGTATACATACATATCCAATTCTTGTATCACCAAGAATATCACCATTGGTCAGTCTATTCCTCCATTTATAGCCACTATAACAACCCCTTAAAAAAGATGCCAACATTTGGGGAACCGTCTGGAAACACTTTTGGGGATCTTGCTGGGGAAAGCAATCATAAACCACCCTTATGGCTTGTATGGTGAAATTGGGGATGGTAAACACTATTGCTTTACTAACATTAACCTCCTAAACCAGAGGGGGTAAACACCCCGTGTTGAAGCCCATTTGCTGGCCCAGTTGCTGACGCAGCCTCCGACTTTGAGAAGCGCCTTCCAGTGGGGGTCGTGTGCACAGCTGATTCCTGGTCCGGCCAGGTACTGAAAAGGCCACCTGGAAGTGGTCCCATCCATTTTTTCTGGAGTTGTCATATAATAACTTTGAGCAAGCCACCCATGTTTTGCCACACCAAACAAAGGATCTCAAAGGGTGTATAATTATACTGGACAAGATCTAACCAACATATATATATATATTGTATGTATAGTTTGGTCCCTCTCTGCCCTCCACAACCAATATCTGGAGCAAAAGCCATCTGGTACAGGTAAAAATTCATGCGATTAATTGTTGCAAAATGGCGTGGATCAAACATGCTGATATAAGCTAAAGATGTTCAGATTTGGATTTGCCCTGGTTTACACAGTCAACAATCATGAAAAAAATACCAAATGAGGTACACATTGATGGCTGAGAGGAAAGTGCCCGCTGAACTTCAGCGGAACCCACGAAATGGTTGGTGGTTTCAGAAATGGCTTTGTGTGAAAACAGAGCACCCCATTCAATCCAGCCGCGCAAATCCCCCCCATTTCTGGACAAAACCCACAGACTGCACATGAATATCCAGTAATTATATCCCATGAATATCCATTCACTATATCCTATAGTATATCGCCATGATCCTTGCTTTTTGATCCATATTTAACAGCTTAAATAAATATACCATCTTGTTATTTAACATAGCCATGGAAAATCACCATTTTTAATAGGTAAACCATCTATAAATGGGCCATTTTCCATGGCTATGTTAAATAACCAGAGGGTAAATATATATATATATTATATATATATATAGTACACCCCATATTGAGCATGCTAAGTCCATCGAGGTGTCTTTTGATGGGTGGTAGCCCCAAATCATCCAAAAATTATATAACATTATATAGCCCATTTTAGAACTGAAACCCATGGCGACTTGGGGATCCCCCATTTCGAGAAACCCCAATATTGCATCATATTGCCATATCATACAATGTGGGTAAAACAATAATAAACCATCCCCCGGTCATCACCATTTTTATGTGGTACGTTTGCCATTCCCCGTCATGAGTGGTTTATGACCTTGTTGTATCCACATTAAGATGTTTAAGGTTTGATACCCTGACGCTTCCAGCTTATGACGTAGCATCCGAGGTGGAGGGTCTTTGGCGGCGACGCTCAGCCACTTCCACCTCCTGGGTTCCACAGCCCGGTCCCAACAATGAGATGTGTTTTTCTTGTGTGAACCATAAAAACGTTAGAACCCAGTTAAACTGATAGTTGTTGACGATATGATCCAAAACTTTTTTCAACCCCAAGCGAAAATGTGTCATGAATATGGCGAATATCTTCGTCATGACCACATTTCATGAATTGTTGATGTTTGATGTGTCATGAATATGTAAAAAAAACTGGATGTCTTGATGGGGAATGGCGAATAACGAATTAACCCTGACAATTTGATGGCTTGCAAATGGGAAATAGCTCAGGATCTGATAAGGCCTCACAAATCCGGCTGATCATCTGGGTTGCAACTGGTGAGGAAATGGCCTGATAACCCATCTGCAACTGGGTTGTTGTTCCTCATTAACTTTTAGTAACTTCTCCCCAATAAGAAAAGTGATTGATCACTACTTTGCTAGGATTTTACTTATCTTTTTGGGGGGTTGCCATATGGTCAATTGCCAAACTTGATATGCTGTCATGAATCCCACAACTGATTTTTTGGGCATCAACTTGATCGGTACCATTGATGGTGAGCTCGGTCGTGAGGTCGGTACAGTACAAATTGTCTAAATGAAGTCACACCTAGACAGTTCGTAGACTTACGGGTATCACAACAAATGAGTGAGAATGGCGACATACATATCTTGCACAAATGAAAATATGCAGACTGCAGATGCACATGATTGACATAGAATCACCAATTCTCCACAATGTATAATATGTACGATTTGGTCAGGTATGTGCATCAACCCTAAAATGAGACCATACCCTCTGGTAAACGTTTACATAACTATGGAAAATCCACCCATTTTTCATGGGAAAATCCACTATTTCTATGGCCATTTTCAATAGCTTTTTGTATGTTTAGTTTACCAGAGGGTATATATATCCCCACGGGAAAAACCATGATCTGAGCCATCCAAGACCATGGTGTCAGCGTTTTGGGCGCGACCTCCACAGCTCCAATCTTCACGTGCTTCTCTGGTGCAGCCAGCGTTGGGACATTGAGGAAGCTTGGACGCTTCACCTCATGGGAAGTCTCCTCCTCACCTGGGGGGGAACAGCTGAGCTGGTCGTAGGTTGGGATCCAAATCTGGGAACTGAAACCTGTTCCGCTGAAATCGATGGTTTTGCGAAGGAATATTATAGTCAATGTGTTGCGGGATACTGAAGCCATTTCGGAATGGTCTGATACATACCATCAAGTTGCTACCCTTTCGACGGGCGTGGTCTGCTGAATATGCAGCTTCCTCTTCTGGAAAATCACAGCATGACCCATCTCCATGGAAGGGATACCATGAGATATCATATGACAGCATAAACTATTAATCAACAGTGGAGAGCAACTATATTATATGTTTTTTTATAGATATAGATTATATACATACACTACCTTACCATGACCCATCCCATCTTCCAACCCAAAAATTGTTTGTGTTGCGGATATATTGGGATATGTCTCATTATATAAAGTCATTTTTTGTCGGTTATCCCCTTTTTGGAATCCCAGATGCATTCTCCCACTAGGAACCATTACTGTGCTTGGTTATTGTCCTACATTGTGGTCGGTTATATCCAAGATATGTCCCTTTGTTAAATCCCGGAGATATCCCAACAATATCCAAAACAAATCCGATCAGCCTCTGGTAGAAATGCGAATATATGTGAAAATTCATTGGCGTTGGAAAATAATATACTTTCATGGTAGGTCCACATCGTGAATTTTCAGGAGGATATCACTTAGAATTTGAACATCCCAGATATATCCCAGACATATCCCTGCCCAGATATATCCCACTGACATCCCCGGGAAAATCCCACTATATTCAACGAGTCACGGGTTAACAACCCTGGTTAGTGCCCCAGTTCCTCACCAGTGGGATCCCCTGAATCCCACATCGACGCTAGGGTAAACGAACGTAGATGTGGAAAGCCTGTGCTAGGACCCTAGGAAAATCATCTACAAATGCTTGATTGTTCACATCTATCTTCGTATTTTACCCCAGGGTAATTTAGTAATATCTATATATAATTATATATATACACATATACACATCCCAATCCCACTATGGTTATATGTGTATATATATAATTAATTATAATAATATATAAATATTTACCCTCTGGTAATTTAACATAGCTATTGAAAATCACCATGTTTAATGGGAAAATCCACTATTAATGGTCATTTTCAATAGCTACGTTAAATTACCAGAGGGTACCACCAACATCCCAGAAAAGATCCCCAAAATCAGGTCCCACATGGTCCCACCTTCATCTGGAATCGAGGCCAGAAAGCCGCTGCTCAGCCTCCTCCGTGGCGAGCTGGTGGCGCTGGAGTTCGTGGAGGCCCTAGAGGAACCTCAGCGGCACGCCGTGGCACCGGGGCATGGGAAATCCATGCTATGTTCATGGAGAAAATCTTGGAAAACCATGGGAAAATTCATGGGAAAATCATGGTTTGAACTGTTTAAACCCTCCAGAAACTCATGGACATTTCATCGAAAAATAGCTCAAAAATAGTAAAACACATGGAGATTTTACAGAAACGGCAAAAAATGTGTGGTTGATGCTGGTTGCTTCTCTAACCCCTTTTTTGGCTGGTCTATCACCCAGGAAATTGGCAATTCTCTGGTCTGAAGCATCGATTTTGGAAAATAAACATAGACCCTGTGGAGGCTTCTGGGTGTATCCTGTTACTTATCTAATAATTCTCAGCAGTTGTGAATTTCGCATCGCAAATCACATGGGTTTACACGGTTTGTCTGAAAAATTGCCATGAATTCGAGTTGTTGTCCCTCATTTTATCGACAAATCATCATGCTGCCGGCAATATCCCACTAATATCCTTCAATCGTATCACATTACATTAGCATGGAATGCATGTCATTGGTCCGATGCTTGTTGGTGATATACAATCAATCAAACCATAATGGTATCTGGTTGGTGGTTTGAACCCCTCTGAAAAATATGAAAGTCACTTGGGATGATTATTCCCAATATATGGAAAAACAAAAAATGTTCCAAACCACCAACCAGATATCATGTACCATACTAATATGTGACATATGCCCAACATTCCCCAATAAATATACGGGTTATACAGTTATACATATGTATAGTGCTTGTCAAATTCAAGTCCCTTTAAATCGTCCATGCATGCCAATTACACCAGTGGATGAATCCCTATGTTTTGAGGCAGCATATTTGGTTGTCCAAGAAGAATGCTTCGCCACGAAATTGGATGGTTTGTCATGATCTTCCCAGTAGAAATGACTAGGATATCATATATATATATATACCTATATATATTATGTATATATATATATACCTATATACCTAGAATTGTTACATAATTATTTATATATGTATATGTATATATAACTATATATAATCATATGTATATATATATATACCTGGTTCCCCCATTGATACCCAAAAGACGTTTCCGAAAAGAAAAAGAAACGGTCGTGGCAAATCAGGTTGTCTTGTTCACTTGAGAATTTATTAGGTAAATTACCTATCATGTACAACTTTCAGACAAACCCATACATTACAATTCCATCCGATAGACGATGGATTGTAATAAGCACCTATATAGACATATATATATATCAAATCGAACTCCCTATAAGCATCAACCAACCACCACGTATCAACTATATCCCCGTGTTGTTTGGAAGGTTTTGAAAGAAAAAATACAAGTGGTTTAAATCCCCATCAGGTATCATCAAACAGCAAAAATCAACAAACAAATATGAGTTTCATACCATCAAATATCCCCATCAAATGGTACTAATTCCATCCCCCTACATCCCCCAAGAAACCATGACCACATAGTTGGGACCATTTACCCGGGTTTTACCGGTTTAAATAGGGGCTGTGAATGATAACTAGTTACTAGGGGGATGGGATTCTTCTGGTTTATCAATGTTTATCATACATGATCAGAATTCCTAGTTGCTTATATAATTCTTCATATCCCTAATTATTGTTCTTCAAAAATATCCCTATTGTTCTTCCCAACAAAAAAATAATCTCCAAATATCTTGTGGTAACCCCACTGCAGGAGATCCTACCGGCCACGCAGCAGGTGCTCGGCCGCCGCTCCGCCAGTTGCAGCGGCAACAAGTCGTGGCTCGGGGGCGGCTCCACGTCGATCTCCGGGGGCGAGGGCCTCGTGCCACAGGGAGGGGGGTGGAACTGGTGACATTCCCAAAAAAAATTGGGGGATTTTGAAGGATCATGCCATAAATGGGGTGACTAACTGGCTTATAACTGGCTTATAACTGGCTTATAACTGGCTTATAACTGGCTTATAACTGGCATTTCGGGCCACCACTTGGTTCACTGTGTTTGGTTTGGGAATCTGGCGGAAACAAATGGTTTCTGAGGGTAATTCTAGGGAGTTCCAGTAAAATTGTCCGATCATCCAATTCAGGTAGAGGATAGCCTCAGAGATGGTGCTTTTAAGAGGAATTTGATGGTTTGAACCAAGCAAGCAAGCAAGTATTGAGGGAAAACTTTGAAAACATCTCTTAGGAAAATGGGATTGTTAGGGGTATGAGTTCAGCAATTGACGAAGAAAGATGGGAAGGTCTTTCCAACAAATATGTGGATAATGGGGTTAATGGGGATACTGGGGATAGTCGGGATTGTCTTTACTGCGATGAGCAGGGGTTTCAATTAGGGCCCTTGGCGACGAGGCCACAGAGCATCAACCAGAAAAGATGGGTATGCTGGTGAAATTATATAATTCACCCATCAAAATGGGGATAATGGTGAGGTTACCACTATAATATTGACAACTATAGGTTTGTCGCGGGTTTGTATGGGTGCGTAGTGGATGCGTATTGATGGGTTTGTGCTCATTGGCTTTTCATGGCGAGGGAGAGTACACACGGAAAGAGGGAATCCGATCCCGTGATACCAACCAACAATACAAAATACACAGGGTCTAATTGGTTTAAGCAGTCCGCAAAACACAGGGTCGAACGCAAGATATTAAGATTGCTTCCAGATATAGAGTCAAACATGTCTGAACCGTCTCGTGACAGTTCTTGGCCCTGGTACTTGCCACACACAAGAATGGCGTGGAATGGTACCTATAGTTGTACCCCAGTCACTCAAACGGAAACGTCGAAAAAAAAACTTTGGAACCTGATACATCATTTTATCCAGCAAATTAATTAAGTTATATATCTCAAACTATATCAGATTTTCATAATATGGAAAATCAATGACAATCATATCCCCATAAGATCCATGTATGCTATATATGGTAACATGGATCCCATCAATATACCCCAGTCATGTTAGCATATATATATATATATACCAGCACCATGGATCCGTCATGGGATCTATATACCCTCTGGTAAACGTTTACATAGCAATGGAAAATCCACCCATTTTTCATGGGAAAACTCACGAAATCAATGGCCATTTTCAATAGCTTTTTGTATGTTTACCAGGCCGGGTATCTCTTGAATTCTCCTTAAATAGATCATTTTCCTAAGGACCCCCCACCCATCGCGCACCTCGGAAGCGACGGCCTTCTGAGCCGGCTCGCCGCTGCGGTGCTCTTCAGGACATCCACCCCGGGCCTGGGTCAAGGCTGGAAATTCTTTGGATTTGGAAATTGGAAATTGGATGAAATTGGATGTTTGGAAGATGGGATGTTTTTATTCGGATTATTTTTTAAGATTTGGGATGGTTGGAAGATGTTGAAAGGGAAGGTGTTGGCGCTGTTTTCGCTGTTTTTCTCCGAGTTTTTGGGACTTACTAACCCATCAGCTTTCACTCCACGGCCAGTGGGAACTGCACGGGACATAGAATAGCATGGTCCAACGGGGGCATCAAAAAACAAGGCATAGGTCACAACAGTCAAAAGAGTCAAACCGAAATTCTAGGATCGCAAAGAATACCATTAATTACAATGTCAACCCCGGATTAATAAACCATGGTTTATTCATTAGGGGGGTACTCCTCCAATAGTCATAATCCAATACTTAAATGGTACCCCCCCAATTAAACAGCCTAAGGGTTTATTAATCCAGGGTTGACATTATATTAATTATTGTGATGCCCAATGACGACTCGTAGCGATATGGCTGTGGCTTAAATTCATAACATGATATTCACAGGGAGTCAACCAGCAAACGTGGGGAAACCAATCGCCACCGATCACTGAGCTGGTTGGCCATCAGGAATGGCTAACTAGTCCTACACTAAAAATGAATGACCAACATAAGCAAGAATTTGACTTGGAACAGCAGAAATTGCCGTGTCATAATTCATTGTGTCGTTGTCATTATTTCTTAGGTACCTCCCAAGTAAAGGACAAAATGACCAGCTATTGACATATAACACCTGCCACGCCATTGAAACTGTATATGTATCAGATATATCCATGTTTTCGATTGTTTTTGGTTGTCTATAAATCACAGCCTTGAGATATTTTCTCAAGGCTTAATTTTCACGAAGCACCCAAAGTCATCATCTCCCACATTTTATTGGTTACCATCTGGTAATCAAAGATGGTCATGGAAAACTCATGACAATTCCCTATTTAGTTCAATGATTATAGATGCCCAGCTATAGTTCAGGGATTTCCCAGCTAGCCATGTTTGACACCGGAGGTAAACTCTTTAAATCCCATTGACATGAATAATCACCATGTGGGTTATTACTTAAACCCGGGAACATAAAATCATCCCCGCATACTTTATTGGTCAATATGTCCTTATACCATTGGCTACATATACTACATACCCATTATATATCTCCATTCTATCCCCCTTTTGGATAGTTAATTCCCCGCATTTTGTTGCATACACATCCCTGTAATTTTAGCATATATATATATATATATACATTGCAATATCTATATATATATATATATGTGTGTATCTACTGTAATATACAATTATATAAGGGAGGCTCCTCAGAACTAGATTTGGCCACCCAGAAATAGATTATATGATAAATTACTATAATCAATAATAATCAATACATCAATATCATCATATATATCTACATGTAACACCTATAAATACATATATATATATATCCATATATGACCTACACATTCCCCAGGCTGGTGAAAATTCGTCCAAACATAAACCTGGCGTTCGGGGCACTCGGGAGAACGTTCGCGGGGCATCTCAACGGAATTCTCATTGAGCGCCTGGTTTTTCAGCCGACGGTGCAGGGTTACGTGGACGTTAAAAGGAGACATATATATAGTAGACATATATGGTAGATATATACACGATATAGTTATTTATAGTATTTAACTAAAATTTAAATTGATACACTAAATATTTACTGGGTCTTAACTATATATATATATAGTTATTTATATATATATAGTAGATATGTACACTAGTTCTATAGTAGATTTAGTGTAAATATCCCCATGATTTAGTAGATATTTAGATATAGATATATCTATAGTAGATATGTAGTGGATATGAGGGGAATAATTCAGGGGGATACAATTTGATATAAAATATCATGATATAATATCTATGTGGATATAACTGAACATCAAGTCAATATTCAGTAGATGCAAGGGGATGCAGAACCAATACCTGTTTGGACTCCCCTTGGAAACTTAAACATGGGCATATATGGAGAAGAGTGGACAAAGAACTATCGCAAATTGCACTTGAATCGCTAAACTACGGATCAATCGGGGATGCAACTGTATCAGAATTGGGTAGATCACAGACTTTGCGTGGGATTGTGAATTCCATACATATCGAAATCGTATCCCGCAAGAATCTGATACAAGGGTAACGTCGTTCGGGGATACATAGCTGTGCAAGAGAAGATGTTGACCAGGTCGCCCAGATTCTGCCCGGCTGCGGGAAAATGTTGACCACTGGATTTTGAGATACCCTGTTTTTGGACAGACCCATGCGCCACTATATACTGCCATATATTTAGATTTGCCCGGTGAAATTGCCCTAGTTCTGGGGATTGTGAATACTGAATACTGTAATCCCACATTCAACTGTCTAGCTCTGGCCTTCCAGGCTTCCGGCGCCGCGCCTGAATTTGAGGTCTGAAAACCGAAAGTTGCTGCCAAATTTTGTTGTGCTCTTCTTGCCAACATCCTGGGCTGAGATGCAGTTGCAAAGCATTGACTTCTGATTTCTCGAGATTGGGGGCCCGCGTGGCAGGCTTCTACATCCCGCAGGTCGGTGACCCGTCCAAAAACAAGTTTCGGTAAATAGGGCGTATTAACCACCAACCAGCAAGAAGATGAAACCACATGAAACCCACATTTTGGTTGGTTTTCTTTGGTGTTACCCTCTGGTAATTTAACATAACTATGGAAAATCACCATTTTTCATGGGAAAACTCACTATAAATGGCCATTTTCAATAGCTATGTTAAATTACCAGAGGGTATTCGCATTTATGAGTTAATCATCAACCACTATCAACAGCTGAATAAATCCACCACTTCTCCAACCCACCTTTGCCCAAGAGACTGATGACTCGCTGATGCTCCTGGCGGTGGTCACGCCGATGTTTCGGGGGTGGTGGTGGTTTCACACTGTTTCAAGCAGGATGAAATTGTGAATGCGACCAAGACACTGGATAGAGGTGACACTCCAAATTTTAGCGAAAATGTCTGAACTCAAGCCCGTTCACCAAATAACAACTTACCATTCGTTGGCATCCAAGCAAACTATGCTTCGGACCCATGGTCAGTCACCACTGCTACACCGGCACACCATCGCTCAACAAACAGTTTTAAACAGGAACTGATCCATCAGGTGCAGCCCCGTCATAGCTTTGTATTGAAAAAGGCGACAAAACCCAGCTGGGCCAGCTGGGCATTGTGAATGTAAGCCTCCAAAATCTTGAAGGTTGTATATATTACATGGATTATATGTTACTATATATTGTATATATATATATAATTATCATATCTATCATTTAATGAATAATCATATTACATCTCATATCACCGGATTCTTAAAGAACATTACATAATATACACTGCCCATGAAACCGCAAAAAACAGCATAGTGGATCAGGCGCCCTCACCTGCGTCAGCTCAAAGACGAGTTGGTCAAATTTCGTCATTGCAAAGCCCGACGCGTCAGTCATGGGCCCTTTCCGCTTCGGACTTGCTCCGCGCGTTGATCATGGTCGTTCCAAGTGCGCTTAGTTGCATTGATTCAGCATGTCTTGGAATTTCAGGTATGGCAAAGAATGATCAAGACATTCACCAAATCCAGGATTTACCATGGATTTACCCAGTGAATGTTGGATTCGAGGCATTGATTCATCAAGATTCACCCATTTTCCGTGATCAGTTCTTGGTGACTTTGCCTTGGATTTGGATGGCCAAACTGTCTGGTCTCTGCAGCTTTCGAGCCGAAAAACGCTCGGTGTCTGTATACCCTGCGGGAATCAAACATGGCAACCGGAAATTCCCGAACTGGGGAGGCTTTAATAGGAAAATCATCTGTAAAGAGGAGATGTTCCATTGCCGCGTTTGATTACCAGAGAGTGTGTGATTATATATATATACATATGATTACATATGTATGTATATATATACAGCATATATTACTATATATATATATGTGGAATATAGTTATCTGTGATATACACATTTACACAGACACAATTCACATCATAGACATCAGAGACATTCCTATGCATATATTGTACCCGCCCTTATCCAATCCGGGTGCAGTCATCCATGTTGCAGGAGCATCCCAGCGGCGGACATGGCACCTGCACCACCCGTTCCTCCATCGTCCTGATCCAAATTTTGACGGTAAAACCCAGTAACAACTCGATTGTTTTCTATGTTTTCTTTCGATTTTCTCCTCAATCCATGAAATTTGATCAAATAGCTTCGGACAAGATCTGGGGCTGGGGAAAACTGTCTTTCAAAGAGATCAAGTAAAATGCAGATTCAACTTTCACGATGATCCGCAAAAACCATACCAGCACTCACAAATGATTGGCCTTTACGCATTGGGTGTAAGACCCGCTGTCTATATAGGCGTTTGACTCATAGTACATCACATCAGACCATGATTTGGACCCCTCCCGGCCATCCAAACCGAGTCTTTGCCCAGCATATTCCAAACTGACCCCCCGTTCGTGGCAGCAGTGCTTGAACCGTCTGGAACCCTCCAAGTCCAAGATCTTGTTTCAGCCGCAACTTCTCAGTCAATGAAAAACTCACTTCTCAGTTTCAGCCGCTATTTTTCGCCGCTTTTTTGAAGTTTGTTTGGCATCTGTTTCCCCAAATGGAGCTTTCCTATAAGTGGCCTCGGGGGAGGAGGCCGAGGCCTGCCAGGTGGTGGGCCTGCCGCCTGGCGGTTTGAAACACAATGGATTCGTCAAAGGTACGAAGCTTGGAAGATGCCAAGGGAATATCTATATCATGTTATATCATGTATAATGTATAATATATATATATATAATATGTGTTTATATAAGATATATATATATAGCCCAGTTGAATCATTTCAAGAAGAATCATATCATGTTATATCGTTTGTTGTTCGCCCAGTTGAATTATGTCAGCTTAACAATCCCAATTGCAATACATGATGGAAAATCCAAACCTTTTGATAGCGGAATCATCTGTAAATGTCAAAGGCTTTGGGATTTCCCATATGGCAATGTTTGACAAAGGCGCGGGGCAAACATGGATATGTCTCTAGATTTTAGATGTGGCAGATGGAAAAAATGACCATGTAATATTATTAGTAGTATAAAGCGAAATGAAGGGACTTGGTGAAATATGAACCCACATCAAATTAATAATATCTATATCTATATCTATCTATATATATATATATACACACCTTGTGATGTAATGTAGAGACCCGACTACCCACCATCGCTGGTGACATACATCTATTGCATAATCATATCTTGGTCACAATTGGGTGCCAGAAAAAATCACCCAAACCTGTGGTTTCCCATGGTCTTAGCCTCCGAAGGTCTTAGGACGCACCTTGCCCAATGGCTGAGCCCCATGGTACGATTGAACCCTTGATTTGACAATGGATCGGCTGAAGGAAACATGCTCTTTTTTGACATTAAGATACATTAAGTATACATTAAGTATACTCAACTGATCTCAACTGCATGGCAATAGGGCAAACTGTTCTTTGCAAATCTTTAGCCTCTTGAAATCAGGGACTGGAAAGTCGGGTCATTTTAGAGAGGGCAACAGGGCTGGGGGATGGTTTGTGTCACTAGCTTGTAACATGCACTTGTTTGTGAAGCAATGTGAGGAACTGCATATTGCAGAAGTTGATCCTGAACCTGTTGCCCTAGTGCCTCATAGTTTTCAGCTCAATTACAAGGGAACTGCTTAAATGTTGAGCACGGCAAACAACTGTTCATCCAGTGCCAATTTCACTGCGTCAGTCTACCCTCTGTTTTTTCCAACTGACGACACGGAAAAACATCCGAGGAGACCACAGATCCAACAGAGTTTGAAGACCTTTGGGGCCTTGGCCAGGCTCAGGCCGTCCATGTTCGGCCATTTCTCCCACGTTCAGTAAGGTATCCCCATGGTCGTCCCCATGGTCGACCAGTCCATTACTTCCATTACTGGTTTTAGATGATTTGATTCCCAGTTGAGTTGGGAACCTGTGGTCAACAGACATGACCATGGCCACCCTCAAAGATCTCTCTTTGCCGCTGAAAACGACGTTTGCAGATCATTCATGCGTTCTACAAATACACCTTGAGACTCCAAAACCTACAAAAAACCGAGGATATGAAAAAAATAGACGAGGTTTCTATATATGTCTGAACACATTTCTTTTTATCCATGTTATGGAAATAGTCATATATAGACACCAACAATTGATGATGTTCTTTCTATGTCACATGTCACTTTCCTCCAACGTTTGGGCCGCCCCACTTGGCCGCTGTCGCCACGGTCGTGGCTGCGGCGCCTGCGCCCGGCGACGTGGTGGTCGTGGCCGTGGCCGTGGCCGTGGCGGCGCCGCCCAGCAGGCTGTGTTCCTTGGAACCTGGTCTCCTGCGGGATGGGAATCAGAAATGTTGGGATGTTACAAAATGTTGATGTCATATACCCATAGGATCCATGTATGGTATATATGCTAACATTGGGGGTATATTGATGGTAAATGTTACCATATATAGCATACATGGATCCTATGGGATAGGAAGTTAGTTCAATACTTGTGAAATGAGACTTTTTGTTGTTTGGATATTGGTATATTAGTAGCAGTACTTGGGAGAATACTGAATATCGGCAGTTCCTGAGATATTTGAAGGTTGACAATTGGGTAGGTAAGTCTTGCTGGGAACATATTTGTAATTACCCGGGTAATTAATGATTATTATGGTAATGATAGTTATTCGCATTGGGTTTATTTAGCACAGGCTAATTATGGTGGGTAACCAATTGCCATCTCTACTTCTGGGATGGGTCAGAATCATTACTATCCAATAACTGGGTAAATTTGATTGGTAATAACTGGGTAAATACTGAAAAAAATAGTGCGTAGCAGTTAATCATAGGGTCGGAACTGAATCGGCATATTAATCATATTATGTGAAATTCATGTACTGAATTGGGTATGGGTCAATACCTATAAATACCATTTTTAGTGGGATGAACATCCATTTACCAGCTATTTTGATGTTCACCAGGGGTACAAGGTTTTGACACACTGCCAATTCAATGGCTTGGTTTTGCTGGGGTCATTTAACCATTGAAACTGGCATTCGGATAAGACTTTCCCTTCGACCAATTCTGGGGGCAACAAGTGGCATCTGAATAGTGAGGGACCATGGGAAATCACTATGGGCACCGTATTAGCACATGGGCATAGTATGGGAAAATGCTGGGAAAATGGACATCCAGGGAATTATGATAAAACAATATAAAACATGTAAAGGGTTAGCGTCGGGAAACCCTTTCATGTAACTGAGAATGTGTAGGTCGTAAGAGGGACACCAAATTTCCAGGCGTCTTCTTGGCAAGAATTCATGAAGGTTCCAAAATCTCAAGAAACACTGAAAAATCGATCAATCTTTAACCCGGGTTGGTAAATGTTCTAGTTTCAATTCTTGACATCGCCCAACAAGAAAGAGGTAATTTCATCTCCAACGGATTCAGATACTTTCTCAAGTGATGATCAAAATCCACTTAAAAAGGCACATTTATTTACATTATTTACCACTCATTTACAGGATATATATATATAGTGATCCAATAATGTGATTATCCCACCTATGGAATTTAAAAAACTGGATCCTACAAAAAAAACACTTTCATTTCCCCATGTTTCTCCCATTCTTCTCCCATCTGGGGATTTCTAGTGAAAAACCCCAGTCTTCCACCTGACCGGTGGCCGTTTTCGCTGCGGACCGGGGCTTGGAACCTTGGGAACGCTGCGGTGTTTAACGGTTTTTGAGGGGATTGTGAGTATTCAATGAATGGTTATGGGCATTAACGGTTGCTAATGGGGTTATTAATAGCTATTAATTGGATTTAATTGGCATTAATGGGTATAACCATGGTATAACTATGTATAACTCGGTTTTCTTTTGGAGCCTCCATGAATTAAGGGGGAACTGGTTCAACGGCCCAAAAAAATCATCAAGAATTCCCATGGTTCATCAGTTGAATTTCTGCTCCATCTCCAAAAATGCTTCACAGCTAGGTCTGGGTCCAAATAACCAGTGCATCACCATTTGTTTGGTGAAAAAAATCACCAGTCCCTGATTCCCATGGTCTTTTCACACGAAAAAAACAGCCTTGGGCTCCAAACCCTGGTCATCAGTGCTGCATCACAGGCTGTACATTGAACAGCGACGTGCAATGGCCGATGCCAATATGCCAATATCTTGGGAAAAGTTGTTGAAGAAATGATGAAACCTCTGGAATCTCCAGTGTTGGATCTGTTTTCTATCAATCTGTCTGGTTCCATCATAAAACTTACATCATGCTGGGTGAAGCCAAGATCTTGGATCTTGGACAAATCTTGAACATGAAAGATATGCCAAGCGCCAAGGAGTTGTGAAGAGTAGATAAGATCATACCATCAGCACTTATTAACAGTATATACTCAACTGTATCACATCCTTTACAGTGCAGCTGAAAGC